CAGAGCACGACGCCATTGTAGAGCACGAAAGTACGGGTAACGCAGAGACACTACGCGAGCACAATAGTATAAATAGCAGAGCCACAACGGATTGCACGATAGCGTGATAAAGCGGTTGATAAAACCTCGCCCGGAGAGCACGATACTCGGGCGACGGAACAACATGACTGCGTGGGGGCACCAAACCACGGAATAGCCATCTTCGGCTAGAGTACCGGCGATGGGAGGCCAACGGCCACGAAAGACCAGCTACCACAAAACCACGTAAGCGAACCGGAAATAGTTAGCAGCCACAAAACCAGCCATACTAAACAGCATGAACCCAAAATAAACGGCGCATAGCCACTAAGCAGCATGAACCACCGGTGAGCAGAAAGACCACAAAGCCAGGAAGGACACGGAACAGCGAAGGCCATTGAAGAACATGACATCCAATCTGTAGTACGGGGTAACGGAAGCGTACTAAAACCACGATATTATACGGGTCCACATGAAACTACGGAATGGTAAGTGATTAAGTTCACGAAGCCACGATATACTGGGGTGAACGACGCTCAGAAAGCACGCGACACCAAGAAGCACTTAAATTTGCGGCCACCTCATCTCCAACAAACCATGTCACTCCGCCGCGTAGCGGCGTCGGCCGACTAGTCTACCCCATCTAGTGGAGTGTGGTCTGGGTCCGTCAGTCCGTCCGTTACGAGCCTGATTGTTAGTATGAACATTTCCCCACGCAGGGCTACACTCCACCTGTTCAGTACTATAATGTCCCATCCTTTCGACTACACCTATCTTTGTGACTCGGCTTGACCCGGCAGAAATTGCACTTTTAGCCATGAATAGGGTTAATAAATGTAACGCAAATACGCGCATTCTACTGGCTGCCGAGCGCAGCGAAGGCGGCCGCAATTGGCTAAAATCGCATTATGTGAAGTACACATTGTACGTGGTCTACACATCATACTTGAAAGCTCTCATTTTCAACCGCGGACCGTCACTCCACGCAAAGGGCGCTGCCTGTGTGAGCGTTAGCTGGCATTAGTAGAAGGAGCGAATGAGCACACACGTACTATATCGTCGTAGGAGCTGTTGAAAAAATTAGTAGGCCCTGATGACCTAAATTTAGCTTAAATTGGACCTTTAGTACTTATTGGTCATAATACGATTTGTTTTAGCTTCATAGTACTTTCGTGGTACGTTTACCTAAGTACTGTTTTGCTTTGTACTATTCTTAATATTTTTCATATTGTTGTTTGCAGACGTTTGTAGTAGTAATACACAAAACAAATTTAGTAGCGCTAGAAGAAAAAAACGCATTTTACAACTTATACTAAATACCTTAAAACATAGTGTTATATTTGCGTTAGATAAAATAACACACAGTTTATAACTTATATTAAAGATTTGAAAACATTTAAAATGTGAAGATAATGGCTTCCATCATCGCACAATCCGACCCCACATAACCATGTACACCACTCCGCCGCCGAAAAAAAGGGATCATATTCCTTGGTATTAGCACGCGTAGTGTGCGACCTTAAGAGATTGTGCGCACTTTCCAACACGATATGTAGCGTACATCAAACAAAATGGAAACAGCGTTTGCGATTTAAACAGCGCGGAGGCACGTGGATAAACAAGCACACGAAACACGGAGGAGCACCGAGTCAGACTATGTTTACGATGCGATAGACGCAACAACTTCAAATACGGAAGGCCACGGACGATGAAAAATTAGGCCACGATATTTCATGCGAAGCAGGAAGAGCACGCAGTCATGAAACACACGGAGCGGCACGAAATGACGGAAGTGGGCGAGAGCTGAAATAATGACACCCCAACGTTACGAAAAACACGGGCCACGGAAGAGAGCGCACGTTCACAGTCACGGTAGACTACGTAGCTGTGTGAGTGCACGGAGTTCTCCCACCACGGTAGAGTAGGAAGCACGGTCGACAGATTAACCACAAAGCCACGGGAGAGCATAAGCGGGAAACCACCGAGCTTTGGAACACGATATTAGGGTAGAACCGGAGCTCAGGGAGACCCACAGCACGATAGCACGGTAGCTAACGATCGCCCAGACGACAGACCAGCCGCGACACCAGAGATACCACGATAGCATGGACGGTGACCCAACCACTAAATCATTGTAGAAAACGCAGCCAAAGAAGTTATAGACGGAAGATCAGCGAGCCTCGGAGCACGATACCAGTGTAGAACCTGAGCTTACCGAGCCACGGAAGTCAGTAGTAGATTAGAACTCGATTGCACGGTCGGCGGACCAGCCACGATATACAGGGGGGGGCGCTTGGGGTGACCACGATTGCACACTATGGAGCACGATGCCATTGTAAAACAAAATAACACGGACAACGCAGATGCACTACACGAGCGCAGTACCATAGACAGCATTACGATACCGCGATTGCACGATTGCGTGATAGCGCGGTCGATGGAGCCACACCAGGAGAGCATGCTACACGGGCGACGGAACAACATGACTGCGTGGGGGCACCAAACCACGGAATAGCCATCTTCGGCTAGAGTACCGGCGATGGGAGGCCAACGGCCACGAAAGACCAGCTACCACAAAACCACGTAAGCGAACCGGAAATAGTTAGCAGCCACAAAACCAGCCATACTAAACAGCATGAACCCAAAATAAACGGCGCATAGCCACTAAGCAGCATGAACCACCGGTGAGCAGAAAGACCACAAAGCCAGGAAGGACACGGAACAGCGGGGGCCATTGAAGAACATGACATCCAATCTGTAGTACGGGGTAACGGAAGCGTACTAAAACCACGATATTATACGGGTCCACATGATACTACAGAATGTTAAGTGGTTAAGCTCACGAAGTCATGACCTACTGGGGTGAACGACGCTCACAAAGCACGCGAAACCAAGAGCACTTAACTTTGCGGCCACCTCATCTTCAACAAACCATGTCACTCCGCCGCGCAGCGGCGGCGGCCGGCTAGTCCTAAACTATCAATGCTAGCACGGTGTCCGTCCGTCCGTCACACGAAACGCTCAGATTTTTGAGCCTTCCCATTGGCTGCCGAGCGGAGCGAAGGCGGCTTCGATTGGTTAAAACGGAATTATGTAGCTTACATCAGTAAATCCATGTGGTTCACAGAGCACATATGGCGATTTGCACAATACTATCCATTATCCGAAGGCGGCATCGTTTTAATACTACGAAGTGTTATATTTACTATTTAATATTGCATGTTGCTTTAAATATTTGAGTGCTACTTATTCTCTAATGAAATAGCCCTAAAGACCTAGATGGTGCTTAGCGTACACGTAAAAATGCGTGTTTTCGAGGCCATACTATTAATAAACGTAATACTATATTCTTAATAGTTTGTGCAAGAAACAATGACTAAAAGAATAACTACAATTGCTTTGTTGTACAAATATTAAAAAAAAAAATGAATGTGAGGTAACCGACCGAGCTGCCAAATAGTAGTACATGTACAACAGAAGCTGGTCGTAAGAACAACGCTGTGCTAAGTCACTTGATCCATAAAGATGGATATTGAATAAAGCGAACTCATTTGTGTTACTGGTGTAAACCATTGTTTTCTACGAGTTGTTTAGACAGCAAAATCCGATACTACTTAGCTGGCGGATGTGTCGCCGACAGGGGCGTAGGATAATATTTTAAATGGAGCAGCAATACAACAATAAAACACGAGAGGTGTGAATTATTGTTGGTTAAGTAGACCCCATATAGAAACGTTAATAAACTCGGAGCCTAAATGACGTCCAATAATCCTGGAATCATCGTTAAATTATTAAATAAAAAACACTACCGTCGACAGGGCGTCTTGCGACACAATATTAAAATGTTTCAATCATAACTGGCACAGATTCGAGTACTAATTCTGAATCAGCACAAAATGAGCGCTACATACATTAAAATTAGTAGAATTTGAATATTTTCTTAGATTTTATTGAGTTTGATATGAGAAGTGAACAATCTTTAGTTACTTACAAACTGAAATAGGCAGTACAAGTGGGTAAGTAGTGCAATCTGGACAAACTATTACTATCGTGTGAGCTAAGTTTCATAGCGGCTCAGGAATGGTCCGTGATATCGAGCACGACGCTAAACTAAACGTGTTGTGAAGCGTTTGTTTAAATGCTATTTGAAGTGCAGGTAATTCTGACAGTGATAGCCAACAATAATAAAGATACTGTGTCAAGATCACTACATGTAGAATAATCTTTTTTTACATTGTAAGTATGATGCTAGGGGCTTAGGTTTTTGTAGTAGTAATTGCACGGCTTACTGGGAACTCAGCATTGTATAGCGAATGATCTAAACTAAGCCCAGATTTATGAGATTAAAGAAGTCGATTTGGGCACATAGGGACTCATACTTTTTGGAATAATTATCTACCCGAAGCGAAGCGGAGGCGGGAAGGCAAACAACTTAAATAAAACCTTAACTATCGCCGCGTAGCGGCGGCGCTCGGCTAGTATTTAACAATAACATTGTGTCCAAGAAGATAATATTAGGTAATATTTTTCATATTAGCTGGTCTACCAGGTGATATTATCACTACCGGTATACAGTATTAGCTTCACCGATTTTGGAGTTACCATTAACCCCTGGTTTCACCAGCATTTATTATCCGTGTCGGTTTATTAATGCGTGTTTGGGCGACTTGGGCAGCAATGCTCACGCGTCGCGGCTCCAGTATTTATTGTGTTTCACGGTATGTGTTTTTTTCTGTGCGTTTCACGCCAACAAATTCGTAAGTAGTAGTGCTTACAAGTACTCCCCAAAATGGCAGTAGTTTGAATGGAAAAGTCGCCCGAGGTAAAACGAATTCGTGTGTGCACAGACGCATTGAAAACGCAAAAGTTTTCATAGAAGAAAAGGCGTCAGACGCCAAAGAATTGAGGGTAGGGCACCGGATAGATTCCAAGTTAACTATTACTTGAGTCGATGTCGAAATCGAGGTAAGAGCGTTGACTAGTTAATTCACCTGTTTTATGTCGGCTTTAACGGCCAATTTGCACTCAGATAGCGCCTCCAACTCGTTGTCAATAGCAGCAATCTGACTTGGGTCGCTCAGTCTGACTCGTTTACGACGTAACTTTCGCTCTCGCTCGCGTAATGACACCAACAGCGAGAAATCTGAAGACGAGAAGGTTTTGAAGTGAGCTTTGTCATCCATCGGAGCAGGCACCTCGGACGTCTCGTGAAAATTTGACCCACCGACATAGAGACCTCCGGTGCAAAGGAGTATTAGCCACATACCAGTAGCATGGTACGCGCGGAATGACACTAAATGCAACTTGAGCGTCGATTTCCACTGTTTCACGACAGTTCCCTGCTGGTTCGAGCACGGTTCGCATTGCGGGTAAAAGCGGAAAGTCGTCTTCCGGCCCAGAAGTCTGCGCACTAATTGTTCATCTGTGTGCTTGGCCACCCTAGCAGCAAAGAAATAATTCACATAAAGTCAGCCTGAACCCATGGCACGCTGGCGGACGATAGCCTACAATTTGGGGGGCATGTGGTCTGCGTGGTACCGCACTCCACGCTTGACGCCACACGTGTGGCAGCCAAAGAGTCGTCCGAACTCCCGGATGATGCCTCTCTCCACACTCGTGGCGTACTCGATCGTAGCCGGTAGCGACGCCTTCTTGAGATGAAAAGCTCCAAGATTGGCGAAGGGCGAGGGTGCCAGTGAACTCATGCGACCGCCCAGCAGCTTGAAGCACAGCAGTCCCATAGCCATGTACACCTGATACGGAGCCTGCGGGAGGTCCGCCCAGCGCTCCTGCATTTTACTCTGTAGCTGTCTCCAGGCTGTGGGTGGCTGCAGGTTGTGCACACCGAGTACGAGCCAACTTCGCTCATTAACGCGTCGACTCTGCGCTGACAGTTCCTGGTACACGTCGCGTGGAATGGAAGCAAAGTGCAGGGCCAGGACAGATGACGAGGCCACAGCGGCGGTCCCCACTGCCTGAGGCAACAGGAAGCCAGAGGCAGAGCCGACGTGGAGCAGCTTCTGAGCCACTTGCGCCGCCGAGACTCCGCCCAAGAACAGCGCGCCGCCTGTAGCTGCATCCAGTAAGTGAGCTGACAGCGACTCATACACGGATAGCGACCGGTCACTTGCAAAATTGCGGCGCAGACGCTGAGCTGCAGCCTCGACCCACGAGTCCATTCCTGAAGAAGTATTGAGCTTTCTATAATACTACCTCGATGTAAGTGACTTTGTACTTCGAAGTGATAATGGTAGCTCCAAATCGGTAAAATTAATATATCAATAGTGATAATATTACCTGGCAGAGCAGCTAATATAAAAATCACATAATAGGGGGAGTCAAACTTTGCGTTTTTGCCTGTCATATTTTAGCGTGTACCCATGTAATATTTTGGCACGATTTCTGTGATATTTTGGCGCCATGACCTGTAATTTCAAAAATCACCTACCTCAGATCCCAGGGATCACATGGCATTTCCTATAATAAAAAAATGGTCCGACAAGGCAATGTTGCCATCAGTCTTCAATTTGCTCTTGTACCTAACAGAGCTCAGGAGCAGTTTGCACTGGCGGGAGCCGTCATCACAAGTGCTCCCCAGTCACACTCCACGTCGTTCTCAACACACTACTTACATTACGGACTACAGGAGAAGAGGATGAGTTACTCTCCGTGCCTTTCATGCTAACTCTACTTGGCAACGCCGCGCTGGACCACTCCCCACGGCAACCAAAGCAACGAACAGACGCTCCTGCTATCGGCCAAAGCGGTCCACATCTAGTAGTCTCTATCAGTACGGAGCCAACTGCGCTTCCGGAAGCCTCTTCCCAGCGCGGTAGATCGCGCTCGAAGCTATCAAAGAGAAAGTCACAAGCCCCAGATACCAACTCTGACAAAACGAACCCACAGAAGAAGAAGAAACGTTCAAGTTCCGGCAGCTCGGACTCTATCGACACGGAAAAGCCAAAGCGAATGACTGCTCACGAGAGCAGAGCGTCACTATCCTTTGCTTATACAAAAACATGGAGAGGCCAAAATCAATTACATGAAGAAAAAGCTGGAGCTGGACGAAAAAATGCGGAAGGAGCAGCGAAACGCAAACAAAGCCCAGCAGGAACATAACCAACCGCTTCGCACTTAAGAACTGAAGGGGCGCCGAGCTGTGCGTCGTCATGATATGTTTATGTCACTGGTGGCAGCACAGAAGACTCCGGATGAAATCAAGACGCCTATGGGCCTCTATCAAACTGGACTGTAGCCGCCACCATCAAGCCCATTTCGAAAGCAAGGTGCCTATGACGCTCGTTAGTTTTCAGTTCTTTTAAGTGTTAGTGGTACATGCGTTCATAAGTATTGCTTACGGTTAATTTCAATTTTTTACTAGCTAAGTGCCTTCAACTCTCCTACCGTAGCATTGATGAAAAACAGCTAGCCTCTTCTCAGTATTCCACCAGGTGTACGTCCACGAGCGATGGCTTTCACTTTAATTCGCCGCCGAAACGTATACGGGTCTTCATCATCACTATCCGAGTTCTCACTATCTGAATCACTGCCGGAGCTTTCGCCATCACTAGGCCAGTCATCGCCAAACAACAGCACCATGTTGTGCAGTACTACGCAGGCAGAAAGCCACAGTAGCACTCGATTCATATCTTCGTTCTGCCGTATCTGCACTCGTAGCTCCCTAAGTGAAGACCATCGCCCCTTCAGCGCACCGATCGTATGCTCATTTACCACACGCACATGAGCAACGCACTTGTTGAAATCATCTTTTTCGCTTCCAAGACTACTCGTTCTGTACGATGGTAAAATTGTATTGTGTGTGAAGTCAGCTGGGTACGCAGAGTCGGCTATCAGATACTCCTCCGGACTGAAAAAGAGTCGTTTCTCTCAGTCATTTGAAAGTTGCATCTCTCGGTACACTGTGCTATCTGAGCATGATCCAGGCCATCCACTGTAAAACGAAATAATTCGGCGGCGATCGTCGCATACTACTTGTGCGCTCACACGGTATCTGTGTTTTCGATCAAAGTAGCACTCGCCATCCACAGCGGGCTTTTGCGATAACGGGATCGTAGTACCGTCAATAAACCCCACACAGTCAGGAAATCCTTCGGCTTCCATACGACGTGATATTTGCTTTCGGTCTGTTGCATCTTGCCACACTACGAACCCGTCACGAAGATCGTTGAGGGCAATAATGACTCGGGATGTGTAAAGAGCGACAGTTCCTTTTCCAAGCCCCCACAACTTTCTTGTGCGACCGAGAGAGGCTCCATTCCCGTTAGCTCCTAGTCTGTCAAGTGCAACCGCGAGTTGTAGCCACACAGGAGCTTGAGAATTGTTGCTTAAGTTGCTAAAAAAAAGTTGTTATTCTCAATCGCCGCGAGGATCTTGGAGAATGTGCTGCGCGTAGTCCTTGTCTGCTGCTTGAAGTCCTCATCAGGAAGCCAACGGAAGACGTTGTACGCGAAATCAATGCTTAAGGGGAGTCGCTCTCTTGGTACAAGGAGTCGATGGCCAACGACTAGCTGAAGCAATTCTGCTAGCTCTTCAGTAGGAGTCTCTTCGGAGATTTCCAACAATCCGGGCCCCAGGGTGCCAAAGCCGAGGTCTTCGTCGTCCTCCTCTTCTAGTATCAGGACTGCTTGGAGGTCGATTATCTCCATGATGAACTGCTCTCTCTCGCTCGACCTTGGCATGCTTTGCTTAGTGCCGCACTGGCAGTGCGGAATGCAGAGTGATGGTCGACATGTTGCCTTTCCACCCAGGATGTCAAGTTTTCTTGAACCGCAAGACGGGGTTGCCAACGTTGGGGGCATGATATGTTTTGGAGTGTACCCATGTTATATTTTGAAACGATTTCCGTCATTATTTGGTGCACCGACCAGCCATATTTTGCCAGCCAAAAGCCAAGTTTGACTCTCCCTAATATGTTCTTCTTTGACAAAATGATATTATTAAATATAAACTAAATCCACGTAAAAGCTAGTACGATATTATGTTTTTCAAAAATTGCGTAGTCGGTATAAATCCACCACGACTAGCTGAAGTATTACTAATCAACAGTGAAGGAGATGGAGTCCGTGAGAGTGACGGCAAGCTTGATGTGGTGTGTTGGCACTGCTGAGCGCATTAATTTAGCGTCACATGCTGCAGGTCGATGAGACGCACGATCTGGACGAGGCTATCGGCAGCAAGAATAAAATTTTGATTTCACTCTATCGACTTCAAACAACTGCGACCCTTTGCAGTTCTCCATCTCGATCGGCTTTGTCTGTGTCACAGTGAAATACTAGAGTAAATAATCGTCAGTTTTAAAGCCAACCATCACTACGGCTGCTTTAGAGCTTGACCGTAAGAGTTCTTTGGTGAGCCGCAGAGGGTAAGGTGGCAAAAAACGTACTTAAGTGGGATATATTATCTTGTTTCTAATATTTTTCACATCTCTGACTTAATAAAAAAAATTTATTTAATATCGAAAATAGTACTGTTCCTATCAGACATATCATATGATATTTGGTTACTATTGCCCCTGGATGTAGCTCAGAAGCTTAGTGAATCCGTGCTAGTGTTTAAAAAGTGTAAGCGTCGAGATGTTGGCTTGAGAATGATCTATCTAGCTAAAAGCAGAGCCGTGTTGATGCTCCCTCGATCGTGCATGGCGCTACTTTGGTGATAATGATGCCGCCGGTGCTGGTGGCTTTCACGTGACATCTGTAACGAGGTACGTAACCCCAACTGTACCCCTAGTTACATGAAGTGTGACACGTCACACTTTAAGATATCTGGTACATGGTACCAGGGTCGTCCGAGGCCAGCCATTGGCTGACGACATAGCGCGGGATATCTGGTACATGGTACCAGGGTCGTCCGAGGCCAGCCATTGGCTGATGACATAGCTTTTTATAGGTGACTTATGTTTGTATATTTAGCTCAAGCTGAGCCTACGTATAAACATTCAGTTTACAACTTACCTTTTAAATCGGTCACTTCGCCCTTTTAGACAAAGGGGCCTGTGAATAACCGTTCACTGAGAGTTTGTGTACTCTCGGAAGCCAACTTCCTCTAGCGCAAGGTGCTGTGTGGCCCCGTCACACTTGGTAGCACTAGTAGTCAATCCACGCCAACGCGGGTAGACTACCTGATCCTCTCTGAAGTTCGTTGCCATGGATAGGAACGACTTCTCCCATCTGAACGACTCACTGTTCGAGTCGGTTCGGAAGATGGCTGGCATCTTCGGGATGGAGGCCCTGCAGAGCCTGGTGGCGTTAACGCCGTCAGAGCAGCTCGAGCGTGTCAATGCGTTTGACGCTTACGAGCAAGGGCTCATCGCACATGTGCGGGAAAACCTGCAGGCGCCGGCGGTGGAAACAAGTCCGTCACACATGAAGCCAATACGGCTGAAGGTGAAGCCGTATGAAGGGAAGGAAGGTGAGAACCTTCACTTCTGGGTCCGAGAGAGAGAGCTCGCAAAGGACGCTGCTCTGATCTCGACCGAGCAGCTTCGTGTTGCTTTTGCACTCTCCAACCTTAGCGGTCGTGCTAAGAGTTGGGTGTACACGCGGGAGGCGACACCGCCTGGATGTTTCACATCCTGGGCTCAGCTGTGCAAATACCTCCGAGCTGCGTTCCTCCCGGCGAACTACGAGTACCGCCAGCGTTCGCGCTTCCCCTCATGCAAGCAAGGAAAGCGCGAGCTGCATGAGTACGTTTAAGAGATACGGGAACTCACGGCGTCCCTAGTGGGAAACCCACTCAACGAACACGTCAAGATGACAGTGCTCATGGACGGCCTTCGAGTGGGCCCAGCGCGCACTCAGCTGTTCCAAATGCAGTCAAGCACCCTTGAAGAGACGATTCATGTGGCTCTTTAGGAAGAATCAGCCATCGTCAGGCGCGTACGCTGGCCTCAGCATGGCCAGAGAATTCTGTGTCGAATCCCGGTCGAGCAAACCCCACCGGACCAGTTCCCATGGAACTCGGGTCCGCTGAGCAGCGCGACATTCGCTGCTTCGGCTGCGGGAAGATGGGCCACTTCAAGCGTGACTGCCCCGCGGAGAGACACTGTCTTCCACAACGATGGCAATGATGCTCGTTGGTACCACACCAACCTGGAGGGAGATTGGATCAGCGGCGGCAGATCGTGCAGTGGGGCACCTTCATCGAAGTTTGTAGACTCATCGGATACCAGCTCGTGAAGCTGGGCGAGCAGTGCAACGCACGGGGCGTCTTGCGTTGCCAATGCCACAGCCAGAGCGTGCAAGGGACGCGTCAAGAAATCGTTCTTGTCCGGAATCAAGGTGAGACCCTTCTCTTCGGAAGTTTTGACACGCAGTAGTCGAAGGTAGAATGTACCATCCGCAGAAACTGACACGTGTTGCTTTTGAATATATCCCAAGTCGGAAGATCGGCCAAACCAGTGTCATGTGGTGTAGTGATTTCTCCGTAGTTGCGGATTATCACCCGTCGACAAAGACGTGACACCGCCCAAGATGTTCAAGCGACGAATCCTCGGTCATGTGATGTACGGAGACGCCAAGGTGCAAGGGACTCGACGGCGTCACTTCCGAACTTTCAACGAGTATTGGATACGGCCCATGTGGTGTAGTGATTTCTCCGTAGTTGCGGATTATCACCCGTCGACAAAGACGTGACACCGCCCAAGATGTTCAAGCGACGAACCCTCGGTCAGGTGATGTACGGAGACGCCAAGGTGCCAGGGACTCGACGGCGTCACTCCCGAGCTTTCAACGAGCATTGGATACGGGCATATGTCACTGAATCCAGGCTGTCCTTATTATTAATAATGGACTGGCCGGATTCGCATTCAGCGGACCATCTACGGTACGAACCCTCAGTGGCGGTTGGGGTGAGCTCGCGGAAGACTCAGCGACCCTTGGAAGGCACGTTCACCGTCTGGGACAGGGCGCGGACCGTTAAAGATGCTCATGCGACGGTGCAGACGACGCTTGGCATGCAAGAAGATCCATAACGGATCATTGTTCACTTGATATTTGTATACTTGATTAGGACTTCTTATTAGGAATAGACCTGAAAGGGTAAGCTTAAATAGAGAACAGAATTTCCACTCAAGCACGCAGAGCGACGTCCGGCTTCAAGGTAAGCGTCAGGTCAAGCTTGTTTGAGTGTGTTATGCCTGTCGGTGAACTCGAAGCTCTGTAGCGAGGGTTCATTCGGCAAGGCCAAGAGACTTTGTGTATTGGCCGATTATTATCGGGAGGTTTTACGTGACGGCTTATTGTTGCCTATTTGCACGACTGGGAGTGCTTGAATCGCCTCCCTTTTATTCTTCCTACCGAGTGTTGAACACTCGGTGATCTCGTAAAAGGCTTACCCGTGCCTGGTACCCTTCCGCTGTTCGGACCACGAGGATTCAAAACACCTGCTAGCTTTGCTCGTGCTAGTAGCGTGTTTTTAGTTTTACTGGTTGGCCTATATAAGTAGTTTACAAGGCTCAGTTTGTCCCGGTGCAAGGGCAGAACTGGGGTCTTCAGGTCCGCCCGAACGATCGTTTACTATCCTAGTAGACGTATTGTTGTGGGAACATCCTAACTACATTTGTAGCTAGAGTTCACGTGGGAATTCCAACACCACAACTGGTGCCGCGACCCGGGAACAGATTGTGACCATTGTAAACTGTTTGTATGGCCTTCCAGTTTACGAGCTACCAAGAGAAGAAGAACAAGAAAAAGAAAACAAGAAACATGGCGAAAGGACAACCGACGGTACCAGTTACGCCTGCCAAGTCTGGCGGGGCTCGCAACGAGAGTTCAAGCCCGGCTGCGCGCTTTGCAGCCGCCACCGAGCTTTCAGTGAGCTTCGACGACGAAGCGGACATCGGTCCTGACGCCCACGATTATGAAGATTACGAAGACAAGACGCCGGCTCCAGAGCCAGGCGCAGCGACGCCGGAGACGGCCACTCTATCATCGGGGCTGAGCGGGGCGACCAGGTCTCTTTCGAGGAATCTCGCCGACGAGCTCGATGATGTTGCGGGACCGGAACCCGCTCACGAAGATTATGACGATGGGACCGAGGGTTCTAAACCTTCGGTGGCGAGTGCAAAGCATTCAGCACTGCTGAAAGCACCTCGCCCACCTATCAACGGTGATACACCAGCCGCCAAGCGCGTTTTCGACCGCGTACAAGCGCTGATGCAGAATGATGAGTGGATGCAGCTGTTCAAGTCCATCCCCAAGAAAAAAGCCGACTGGTCTGCGCTTGCGCAGGAACTTCAATACCCAGTCAACTCGGTTTCGACTAGCCAAGTCGCCGAGGATTCAGTTTCGCTACTGTTGTCGCTAGGCTTCGAGAACGAGACGTACCCATCGACGATGTCGCTCCAAGATTGGAGTCCACATGAAGCCGGAGCTGCTCTCCAGAAAATAAAGAGGAAGCTTCGGAAGGCGTTTAAAGCTGTTGGTATTAACGCCGGAAAGCAGCCGGTGAGTCGACCGATGATTCAAGATGAAGATCCGTCCACGATTCCATTACCGCCGACACCCCAACGACTCGTTCGTACTCCTCCGACCAAGCATGGAGCTGAGCGTGGTGCCTTTGGTACTACCGAAGCTTCACCGTACTTTCAAGACTCGCACATGGTTACGCCACGTTCGGAGAGCCGTATGCAGCGTGTTTACGCTGGCAACGAGGGTTGGTTCGGTAGCCGAGGTGGTCCGCGAGCTGCCAAAGGTGGTGCCGGACGTCGTCAAGTCGACAGCGATGGTTCGTCCAGTGACGATGACATTTTGGTGCGTACATTCGACGAGGAAGATCCATAAGTCGAGTTGATGCGTCA